GGAGCTGACTAAACTGTCCTTGCTGAGAGTGAAGCCATGCCTCGACCCAAGGAATGCCACGGAGACTACGAGAAGGAAGATCCAGCTCATCCAGAAGCGACAATACGTGGGAGTCCAGGTCTACACTTGCCTCGTCGTGGTGCAGCAGTTCATCCAGTACTGCGGAATGCACTCCCATACCAGCAGCGTCGCAGGAGGCCTAGGAAAGTACGTCCACTACGTCTCTGCCGAGACGTGTCTCAAGGCTCATCAGTTCCGGCACTTGGATCTTCGAGGAATAGGCGGCGGCATCATCAGCAAGATCAGCCTCAACGGGACCACGGAAGTATCAACAACCCTCCAAGGACACCTCGACATAAGCGGAAAATGCGAAGGTATCAAATTCACCGTCGGAGATATCTTGTACGAAAACGTCGTCGTGTCGGCCGCGATAACAATCAAGATGTCCGATTATTTCACTACCGCGGATGTCGAACGTAATGTCGTGAATCTTCGTTCGGGAACCATATGTCCTTATAATGATGGATCCTGTTTTGATGACTTCTCCGGAGAGGCGATATGGAAAGCAAAAATCGCTGATCAGTGCACAAACAGTGGAGTTGATGTGCTTTATGAAGGAAATGCAACATTGCTCACACTTAGCAAGGATCCACCAACATTTTACGTAATCGTGGATACCGAAGATACCGTTTTCGCTCTGAAATTAATCAAGTCAGAAGATCTATGTCATCAACGAGCTTGGCAGACCGAACAAAATCGTTTGTTAGTAGTTTTGGAAGATTCGTTAGGATTTTTCTACCGAAAATCACTCAGACTACCTCAAAATACAGATATGATGATGCATGTACTCAGCAAATTGCTTTATTTGGAAATTGCTGTCAAAAGACAAATGGCTGATGTTGTCTACGATGCCATCATGAAAAGGTGTCAATTAAGAGAGAAGATTCTACAAAACCGGATCACTATGGCCTTACAATCACCTGATCTCGTGGGTAACCTTGTGAAAGAAACTACAGGTTATATTGGACGAGTCATGGGCGAAGTACTCTATATCGTGAAATGTAAGCCAATAATTGTCGAGTACAGGAGAGCCACGGCTTGTTACCAAGAATTACCTGTAAAGTACCAGAACAGGTCTCTATTCCGATTACCGATGACCCACATCCTGACAGAACATGGTACTGAAATAGATTGTCAGCTACTGTTGCCTCCTAGTTTCAGAATCGAGGGTAAATGGGTAGAATTGACACCTGCATTGAGAAAAGCCGATCCAGCTATCGAACTGGATGCTAACACCGAGGACGAAATCGTGAAGTTGGCCAGGATATCACCTATCACGTCGGATGGTATCTATACCCGGGAAGATATGGAAAAGTTTCAACGCACGCTCATGTTCCCGAACGAGAGAAAAGCCGTCACGAACGAAGTCGCGCGTCGCGTAACAGGAAGAGGTATAGGTACGGACAATTATGATATGCCTAAACTCTTCAGTGAATCGGAATTTAAGAACTTTGCAAAATCTGCCGCGGAAGAAGTGTGGGGTTTCCTATCGAGAATGGGGAACATTTTCTCGATATGCGGTTTTCTGTATACCACATTCTGTGTTGTGAGCTATATTACGGGTGTGATAACGAACTATTTCACCATTAAGAAAGTAGCCAAGGACCATCCGCGTAGGAAACGATATTTGTGGGCTAGCTTTTTCCAAGCTTTAGCCCACCGGTATATTTATAGCCTCCAGCGTAATAGTGATCCGGTAGAGCACAACGCCCTAAATAATATCGAACTTCAGGAAGTTCGAATAAATGACACTGATGCATCTCGGCATTCCGCGAGTGAAACGCGGATCACCCCGAGCGCACCTGTCGCTAAGGTCACCTATCCTACCCTCATACCTTGCGACAATCCCAATTGTTTGGAAAAGCAATGAGAATGAAGTTACCACGGAGACGAAGACAAGGACCACGACCCACAACGGAGAAGAAGACGAAGATTGTTCCAGGAAAACAAAAAGTAGGTTAGTTAGATATGTATATATGACTATTCTGGAGTAACCATTTATTACCCAGCTTGAAGTTCAAGACAAATAAAAAATTGTTACTCTTAAAGGGGGGAGAAATGTAAGAATGCGAATTATTCAATTCATAATTTAATATAGATTTCCATTGGACTTTAATGATTAAATGAAATTAGTTATATCTTTTCCATTTCAAATTACTGAGAATTCATTTTCAAGAAATCGGTCTGAAAGTGAAATCGAGAGTCATTAAATTTAACTAGGGCCACACTCAATTCATGCCTAATTTTTTCTATTTCGAAATATATAGCTATCATAAACTGCTAATAGTGTCCTATTGACCATAATTCTCGACCACCCGTGGTTCAGCTCCTATTCCAAAATTATCGTAAAAGTTTCACTCTCTGCATCAATAAGTCTTATTGAATGGGGTACTCCAGGATATGTCAAGTAGGTATTGTTAGTTTAAGCATAAAAGTCGTGTGGGTATAGGGTTTTTTATTGGAGATACTTCCTTTTTCCCTATAGATGTGAATAGAAACCACACGTCGTGTACATAATTTTAAGAGAAGCAATCTTTTGCATGCACATCAATTAGTTGACATTTATTATTTCAAGGAAATGGTATTAGTTTAGGCTAGGAAACTCGAGAGTTTATCTTTTGAATAGGGCAATTTATGTAGCATAATAAACACGTCAAAAGTAAGGGCTCTCGAGAAACATACATAGTTTATTTTTATTTTGTGAATATCTGCAGAGGGTACTTAAGAATTTCGAAGAAGTCCCCACATGTTGCGAAAACATAAATTATTTGTATGTCAAGTATCTGAAGCTGGTCAAAAGAGAAGGAAGGAATAGTATACACCCCTAGAGAGAAAAATCTACCACGATTGGTTGATACCATCCAACCAAGTCAAGTTTCCACCCATAACGGGAATGAACAGACGAAATTAGAGTCAGATAGAGATTTTAGAAAAATCTTAAAGTTAGTTCAATTTTGAATTTCATCCTGCTTGCCTAGTGTTCTGGTGCGTGAATTCAGTGTCTGGTAAATCTCTCAAAGATTGTATTTTTTCTGATATTGATAAAGTTTCCCTTCTGGTAATCATTGGAATCTTGTAAATTCATTGAGTTTTCAGAGTCTGGACTCAACTAGGTTAGTACCTTCGGTACTGCTTAGAACATCTAAATTTTAAAGTGAAATACATTTTTAAACCGTTAACTTCCTTTTGACTGGTTAAGATAATATTAATTTGATAGATTTCAACTCACTCAGGATAGCTGTAATCATCATAATTATCTCTTGTTCATTTATTTGCTTTGTTATATAGGAGCCATTTCCTTATCGAGTCATATTTTCTTTACTTGTCTTTTCATTATTTGTTTATTTTGATAATCATTAAATAGATCGTTGAGGTTTTATTATTCTTTTATTGCTGAACTTACTCACTTCTCCTCCAGAAGTGAACAATAAAGTAAATTTAATGGAAGTTCTTCTGATTGATATAAGTCAAAAGTTGATTATATAATATAATAAAGGCAAAGAGTTACCAGATAAGTGTTTATACGTGTGACGGTTCGAGGTAATCGATAGCCCGCAGAAGCGATAGCTGAGCCCAGAGAGCTGTCACCCCTTCTGAGAGTCGAAAGGTAAGTGGAATTTTATTGATAATGTTTACGAGCCAACTCAAGCGTATTCTTATTGGACCTTACTTGCCTAACCTGTCTCGTTCGGCAAAGAAAATCAGTAGATGAAGGAAATAAATATTATTAAGAAGGTGGACCTAAGACAGGTGTAATTTAATCAGTTTATTTCGAGGATAGAGTATCTTCATCAGAGTCCACCCTTCTTACAGTAGGTACCAAGTCACTTTGAACATAACTTTTTTGAGTTTACATTTTCAAGTCGAAATTCCATGTTGACTCGAACATAATTCAATTAAACATTACAAAGGTACTCTTGATTCAACTCATCATTGTGTACCGTTCTAGCAATATTTTGATCAAACAATGATGGAGTAATAGCTACTTATCCAGATTCAGAAGTAGGTAAATGCCGAGGTAATTACATTGTTCTTGTGCTGGATTAATTGATTGAATAAGAAATCACAAGTAGAAAATTGAGATAAAATATTGAATGAATTGGAGTGAGTGTTCGAAATTTCCCCCGATTCCACGAAAACAGGATTTCCTATCTCTTGTTTCAAGAATGCATAATTTTCTCAACGGTTGACGATCATAGTTATGATATCATCAAAGTAATGTTCAACTTCGTCTTACAACTCTTGACGTGAATTTTTACCTCTATCTATAGCATATACATCTTCCTTGAGACACAGCCAAACTGTGTAATCCATGTTTATATATAGTCAAATTTATTTCAATTTCATTCTTGTGATCCATTTTTTATGTTCAGCATTAGGAATATTTTGTTTTCTTCGGTTTTCAATAACTAGGTAATATTCTGCCATAATACTTTCTCTATAGGAAGGGTCTTTATTATACTAGAAACAGTTATCATTTCATCAAATCGAAATATTCTGAAAACGATAAACAATATCGAGTTTTACTAACAGTACCTTTTTGGTGTGAAATTGATTGATGTTCAAGTTCACATCTGATTCGAATCGGAAAATTCAACCTCAAATAAGTGATGTTTGAAACTATACTCTGTACGAACCGCATGTAACTAGAGCAATCACCTTATATCTTGAATGTCGTTACGACATTTTTTTACCAGGCAAACCCAACTCATTTTGCAGGGTTTTACCTAACAAGCACGGGGAAACCTTTCAGTATATAAGTATGGGCAATCAAGTCAGATAAATCAATGTATCAAACCATTGTTTTTCATTTGGAGAAGTTATCGTGTGAGCAGAACATGTGTTGATCAATTGAAAATTTTGTTGAAATCTTATCATTTCTAAACTTTTGAATACAATATCTGAGGAAGAATGAGATATTTTGAAACTTATGTGCTTACCTCCGTAGACATCACAGCGTAGAGTGAAGGATGCTCCTTCAGGAAATGGTCCAACAACAGACGTTTGTGGAGATCCTGAATCATCCGAAATCACGATTTTTTGTGGAGGCACTGAAATTGAATCGGTAATAGTTAGTTAAAGTAATCAAATGTTAGTTATATTAGGCTTGTTCAAACATTGTGAGTCAATAAGATTTGAGTAGGTTTGGGTTGAATTATAGGAACAAGAATTCATCCATGGAAACCATAAATTTATTCAATTGAAAATGCCTATCGCCTACTGCGCTTGAATTTGAGTTTTGAGTATGCTCTGTAGTGGCCACGTTTATACCCTGTCTTGGTAAGTTGACTAATTACTATATTTTGACTTGATATTCTTGGTCAGTTTGGAATAAACTGTATACTTGGTTAACTTACCAGCTTGGTTTGGTACCGAAATTTTTTGCGTACCAGACTAAAATAGTATGATGATCAAGACGGTGTGAACATTTTTGTCTACTTTTGTATAGCCTTGACTTGACTTTAGTGCAAGTGGCAGTTATTTCATGAGTTCTCATAATGATATATCATTCAATTCCAGCTAATTCCGTATCCTACTGAAAAGTTTTCATTCTCAATTTATGAACAAGTAGGGTTCTACAACCTAACCTCAAAAAAATAATCAAATCAAATCAAAGTTGGTAACGTTAGTCGACTGAAGATACATGGTGTAAACATGAGTTAACGAAGGCATTTGACTGAATTCAGTTAGATCTTTCTGGTAATGTTTATTATGTATAGTTTTCCAGGGGACCATGCAGTACTAAAACACTGTCAATCATCTATCAACTAAACTCGAACAAACCCGAGGGTTCCTGAGGGTTGTTAAAGCAGTCAGGGTGATAAGTTAATTGTTTTTTTTTTTTTTTTGGATCACACCACATGGAATCCATATTATGTTTGTGGAATATCGTGAAATATCAGGAATACCTAATAATAACTACCTCCCTAGAGAGAAAGGAATAGAAGGCAGGTATTAATATATATGACTGAAACCTATATTCTACAAAGCGAAGTGATGCAAATTCGAGTTATTGGTGGAGCTTTGTTACAACTATGGTTTTGTACTGTAGAAAGTTAATCGAGAAAGTAGAATATTATGTTTTCGAAATCTCTCGAGATGTTTTCCCCACGTTTCAATAATAAGGCAAAGAATACATATATATCTTGGACTTCCACAATTTTGAAAAAAATGATTGATGATAATCTGGAGAAATTAAATTTGTTTTCTATTGACACAGTAATGATTATATACCAGTCAAAGAAATCTGCTATAAAAGAGGAAACGAATCAGATAAAATGTTTATAATACCAGAAATTAGTGAGGAAGAACTGAGAAAACTGATGAATAATTTTTTCATTCTCTAATTATCCATGGCTTTGTGTTTACGTATTCATAATCAATTTCACAACAAAGAACCCCGAATGAAATCCAGAAGAAGAGGTATTGTAAATACGAAAATCGAAACAGCAAAGGAACTTCAATTTGATAACTCCATCCATTTCACTTCAAAGAACTGATGATTTAATTTCAGGTACTAATTAACGATATTATGAGGAATTAATCCTGAATGCGATAAGTGAACTCGGAACATCATTGCTTCTAATCATCATTTTATATACTACGCAGAATCGAAGACCAATAAATTCAATATTCTTGTTAACGTCACCATATTCCATTTTGTTGTTCATGATCTGAGTTTATCACTGTGATATATCAAATGATGATGGTTCAAGTAATAACGTTAATACTATGGTTGTTTTATGACAGTAACAGTAGAAATATTAAATTATCGACAGTTTCACGATGTTCTGAATATCCGAGATATTTCTTCCGCTTTATTGTGCACGAAATTGTGTTGCCTTATAACTCATTCAAGAACAATATTTTCTGACGTCTGTCGATAAAAATTTGTTGCTAGTCGTGCGCGAAAATCGCGAAATAATTTGGTGATCTTGAATATTTTTCAACTCGGCTGCGCCTCGTTATACCAATCAGTTATCAATCGCCAACAGCGAACTAGCATTTCCCGCACTAGATACAAAAATGACTATTCCCCACTCACAATCGATCATTGGTGAACGAGTGATATGCAATGAGAGAATTTTTGAGAACTGAAGAGTATTGATCCTATATACTGAGTGAAACCTTTTGGGGAAATTGGATCTTGGAATCGATCAACAAATATAGGAAATTTCAAGGGTGGTGCTGCCAAAGTGGGACACACTTAATATGGTACATGAAGCATTGCATGAAAAGTTCACAAACTATGTTGTGTTCGAAAATATCATTCCGATCGTGGATGTATTCAAGCACCGAAAGAAAAATCCCAGTAATAATTATCAATTTTTTTTAACGTCAAATATGTTCATAACTTATTAGCCATATTCTTAACTCAAAGGCTGATTCATCAAAATCATACCTGATTCCTCGCTCCATTAGATAACAATAAATGATTCATTACTGCTATATTTGTTCATTGTGAACACAATTATTCAATAATTAACAATTCATCTATTACGCCGATTCACGCAGAGATAATCAATAAGATGAATGTATAATGACAATTTGATTTGGTAACATCCAACAATGATACAGTGTCTGTTTTTATTATGAATCCAGGTAATATAAACGTTGTTATCGTTATTTCGTTCTATTCTTCGTTTGGTAATTATGATAATTCATTTGGTAATAATTGAAATACTATTATTCGCGTGGGCCATTATTTCATTCCAGCTTCCGTCTTATATAGCGGGAGCATCTCCATGAAATCTTTGTTGATTTCCTTGTGATTTCGACCACCGCGAAAGACGTGAAGTGTGATGATTATATAATAATATATAAGTTCGATACGGTATATGACAGTGCGTGTTTGTTTACATTTGGACATGTATATATAATTCTATGTAATTTACTTCTTGGGATGATTTATTTCACGACATTTTATATGAAAAAATGGTAGACGACTATCAGTGCATCTTTTATACTACCTCCATTTAGTGTGTTTTCAAAAAAACTGGCGCATGGGGTGCTAATCAAGCAATATTGGAAAATTTTGAACCTAAGTAGGTGCGAATACCTATGCATGGCGTATTGAAAGAATTGGGATTTTTCCAATTCCTTCTTTCTTTTTGCTTTCTAAGTTAGCATCATCTTAACTATTCATGATCAGGGCAACCATTAACTCAATATTTCTCTGCAACCGTGGATGAATCGTTTCCTTTATATAATTCACTTCTCGGATGAATGTATTCATGATATATATGTATATTTTTTCAAGATTATATGGCACATGCTTCAGTGTTTGCCAAAATTATTGAGAAAAGAGAATGTAATTCAGCCGAAGCAGACATCTCATTACTTTTTTATGTGATATACGCTTATATAGTGCCTCGGAATTAATCTTGTAATGTTGCCTCATTATAGTCCACCAGCCATTCCGCAAGATTTATTCTTACTTTATTTCTATCCCTTATGCAAATTATCAGAAATTACTCGACTTTATGAATTTCTTTCACACCATTCACGAATAATAACTATGTTGTTATTGTGAATTATATACCTACCTTTATTTTTTTTGGCAGGCAATCTTCTCTGTTTTGTCATTAAAAAAGCCATCTTGTTAAGCCAGTTTTATCGCTCAATTTCTGTACATTGTAGAATTTCTACAGGAACCTGTTAGGCATCTATGATTATTTGATATTAACAACGCTCCTTGACATATATTTTTGAATGTTTCGTGTAATACTGACCAAGTTGCTTTTAATTATTGATTAGCTTCTATAACTCTTTTTCGACCGAGTTCTCTGAATATCAGTGACCAAGTTATAGTAATGAGCTTGGTTTGGTACTAACAATTGTTGAATTTCAACCTTAAATATGATAATGACCTAGACAAGCACTTTGATGTAACCTTCAAAAAAAAGGTAACCAAAATAGTTATTTACCTAACAAGTGCGGAAAGAAGTACTTTTCCGCATACATGTCTCCTGATATTTCCTACGATATCGTGCGGGAAAATGGAATCGTATGGAAAAGTGCAACTTTCAGAACGAAAAATCACGCGGAGAAGTTAATTTTCGTACGCTCATATAGGCGAAGGAAATTTCAGCTCTTTCATATGATTCCTCAAAACACCATCGAATTCACAATAACCTAATTTGTGATAAAATACCATTTTGCAAGTAGGTGATTAACGATACAGCAGGAGTTGGTTACATTGGTAAACTGAAGATTCAAGGTGTGTGCATATGATAACTCAGCGAAACGAAGTCTTCTGGTATATGTATTCAGTCAAATCAGTTCAATAGGCATGGCGAATCTAATAATACTTATTGGTTTGAAATGGTATAAGATGACCTGAGGTGCGTGAACAAATTTTTGAATCATATATTTCAGAAACCCTATGAGTGTAATTTTTAGAAAAATCTAGATCTTTGACTGGAACATATATCTCAAATAGTGCTCCATTTCATGCACAAACCTTGCTAATGCAGTCGTTAATCTTTGCTAATGCTACAGTGCTGTGTTCACGGGGTTATGGGAGTCTCGACTAGTGTGCAGAAAACAATAATTGTTCACATTATACTCACATATTACAAGTATAAAAATATGAATATAGCCAATTTTACATAATTCTCACCAGAAAACTTTATATAATTCGTCATGTAATTCAGATTTCCCGTAAATATATCATCAAAATGTGTTTATAACATCACCTGATACTTTGTTCTTACCTAATAACTAACACAGATCGAATAATTTTTTTCTTCAAATCAACATAATATAGTCAGAATTACAATGGGAGTCAAAAATATTTTTTTACTAGTATTAGTATAACCTTCTATATGTGCTCACAGGATATCTGGAATATGTGATTCATTTCAGCATTAACTTGATGATGAAAGTAAATTTCTCTAGGTTCTCGATTTCTCAAGACATGCAATATCACTCAACTATCTCATGATTTCTGCAATATCTGAATAATTTGGAGAATGAGGTGATACTTTAATATTCAATTGTTTGAGTAGAGTCTGGTGGACGGTGTCATTTTTCCTGTGAGAAATATCAAAATCATTCAAATCATCGATCAGGTTTGATGAAAGTATGTGAAATTACTCCTAAGTTATAGCAGTGAAAATCTTGAATGGTTATGTTCAACAAGCACGATGGAGAAGATCATATTGATAGTCTAAAAGTAACGTTACTGACATTGATATGAGTCGCATTATTTCTTTCAGATTCTGAAAAAAATTATTCGATCTGTGTTCATATGTATGAGTATATCGGAAAGATTTACTGATGATATTATTCACATATAGACGAAGAGAAAAACTCTCTAGAATTCAGAGTAATGAATATTGAACTTCCTCGATTAACCTACAGAACATATTCGATCAATTGTAATCTTCTTGTTGATTCCGTATTCATTCGTCCAGAGACCTGTATATTCTTTATTATACACGTTCACAGAAAAAAATCAACTATGAATGAACTCAAAATGGTTTGATGTTCGCCAAAATTTCACAAACATTCGGCATTTTTCAGAATTGAATGAGTTACTCGACAAATCACTGATTACCCCATTATCATTTATGAGTTGTCTTGATAGACGCTGATTCATATAGGAAAAAAGTGTACTGAATTCGAAAGGGCTCAATATTGTTTCTTATCAGATATTGAATAAATTCGTTTCTTTGAATCGTACGCCTTGTATTTATGTCAAAGAATTTTTGAAGGTATATTCATTGAAACATGTCCCCACTGAAAAAAATAATTTGATAGCATTAACAGAACGGGTTCTGTATCGAATTTAACGAAGAATTATTTCAGCGTCACAGAATTTTTTTACCATAAACAGAACCATTGTCACGAAAGATACAGAATGTTGCAGATTTTCTGTTAATTTTACAATAAATTTCTGTAAATAGTTGTCTCCGATCATATATAATTTCTTTACTATTCACTTATCATTCTATAATATTGATAGAATAGCTAGGTATAAGATTACAGAAAATACTGTTGGTATCAAAGTTTGATCTGTACTATTCATTTTGACATTTTCAATGATAATTTTATACCAAGAATAGAATATTCTCTAACACTCATGGAATATTTCGTTAGAATTGACACAAAATCTTTCTTTGAATATTAAAGAAAATATCTCATGCGGATACGAATAGTTCTGTAATATTAAAAGATCATGAGTGACGTCATTCTTTCGAAAGAATGTTCTTTAAATAAAACAAATAGTTCTGTTCCAGTTCAAGAAACGCAAGAAACATTATGTCATTATTCACCAATCTGATTCGTGCTTACGCTCACCTGATGTCACCGAACATGATGTGTTGGTCTATTTTCAAATTTGGTTACCATCCCTTATACCGCATAGGGCATTATTCATTTTTTATTTAGTATTGACAGTGAATGCATCGATGTTGATTGTTGTTTTCAATTTTCTTTCCGATTGATAGGTATCAAGGTAAGTTTACTTAACCCTATATCAGCTTAGCAAGATTTGGATACTGGGTAACTACCGATACCTGATTGTGTGATATACATTTATCAATATACAGGGTGTTACATTAATATGAGTATAGGTATGGTTACTTCAATATATTGTGACAACAATGAAGGCGAGAAAATAGAAAGAAGTTCCTATGAACTCTTACTCGTAGTTTTCAAGATAAGAAGTTGATCTATCATCTTAAAAAGTTCGTTGAAATTAAAGTGGGTGATCTGGTTCTAAGTCTAAGGTCAGAATTTGACGAATTACTCGAAGTGTGTGGGCAAAACGGAATATCTATTGCAACAATGACTCATTAGAAATGATTATGTAGGAAAAATTATTCAGTTTACTATAAACAATGAAGTCTCTGAAACTTTCGTGGACGGAGAGGCAGTTTTCCAGCATATTGAAGCAAAAGGTTGTTTACTTCCGCTTGCATTTCACTTTCGGAAAATTTTTGAGAAGGGTGGATCAAGACACGCCATGGACAGTTGAAACACATTCGACAGAACAAGGAAGATCATACTGCTATGGTATTCTCAAGACTTGGAAGCATTATACCAACCCACTTGGATATAGACTGGTATGTTATTTGTTCTCACTTTTATCTTGTTTCAGAGGTTTTAGCTTCTTCACACTAATGCGTTTATTTTTTCTGTTAATTATTCTTGTACTATTTCAGGTTAACATTGATTATCAAGAACCGATAAAAGAAAACTCGAATATATTGATGGATTCATGAAAAGATTTTTTCAAGAAATGAAATGAAACTGAGTTTTAATCTTCTCCTGCAGATGCTAACATAGTTAGCGAAACACGTGTCGAGGCGTTAAAAAATCGGTTTGGTTAGTGGTAAAACAGTGTAGTGTATAAATAGTCCTGATAACAATCTCTGAGATTAACGGTACAATTTAGTTAATTGTACAGAAATATCTGTTCTGGTCATGAACAATTCTATACCATCAATAGAACCATTCTGTAAACACAAATGATTAATAGAACCATTATTCAACCTGTACAGAATTATCTTTCGCGATTATGAATATTTCTTTACCATTGAACGAACTATTTCGTTCCGGTTATAATACATTTTCTATTAATGGTACAGAATTCAACAGAACCATTCTTTAACATATAAATAACTATCGTTTGACACAAGGAACACATTCTGTTATACCAATAGAAATTTCTTTATGACTATCGAACTATTCTTTAATGTTTCAGAATTCTAGCGAATTCTTCTTTCCAGTGTACAGAACTATTTGTTGAGACAACGAACAAATTTTTTCACAATGAAAGAAACTTTCTGTAGAAGTACCGAAATGTCTTTTGATGTTGATGAATCTCATTTGGGGATTTTAAAAGAAATGGATTATGATATTAACAGAAACTTTCATTGGCGCTATAGCAAAAGAAGTTTTTGTAGTATTCAAAGATTTTTTTTTAATATTTACCTTGTCATTTCTTTCTGTGCCCTCATTTTGCAAGTCTCCTCATCACCTATCAAAATCAATGTACATATATACTATAATAGGATTTTAGTTTTGTAAAAACAATATGGCTTAGCTTGGCTTGGCTTGACAGTCGAATACGTAGTTAACTTATTTGAATCTCAATTCACTGAATAGACGTAATATATATTGTGATAATTTCATCATTACAGTTATTTGTATCATAACAGTCGATAAATGACTCGATATGACGAAATATGTATAACTGATATTTTAACATGAAATCACCTTTACGACATAACTGGAGCGAGAAATTGGGAGGGAAACATATATTTGTTTCGTTCGGTATAGACCATTGTAACGAATGATGTGACTATCCTTTTCAAGCTGGCTGTGCGCCCAAATTTACACTAGATTATCAATCAATGCACTTCGCAGCTTGAAACCAATTCTCTAACCCTGACAGACGTTGATGAAACTTTGTGTAATCGTTTGTTAACTCTACCCTTTGTTTGCGCTCCCGAATGCTGAATTCAGAATTACACACCCTGTTGGACATAACACATTCTTGTGGATAATGACAGTTTGGGTATAATGGAACCTCTAGAAAAATTGCTAGTTCCACGGTCCACCTGGTTCAAACTGTGAATTCCTGAACTCATCATGAACTCCTTGATGTTGAGATGAATGGTGATAAAACAGAAACGGATGCTAATCATATACGTATTAACATAGGTATTAATAAACAATACGGATCATAACGGGTGCCAGGATGAAGCCAAAAATATGAAACAAATGAATATCCATAAGGATTTGGTGGCATGATACGCATGCGCCATGCGCTATTATAGTAGTCATCAAAGACATGCGTTTCGGTGGACAATGACGTTAACTAGCCTTTCAATCAAAGCAGTATGTGTCTGATCGTTTCAAAACTTTTCCTTATGGATAGTCATTTGTCTTCAAAAATCGGCTTCATGTTTCGCTATGGAGACAGATAGAGAATATTCGTATTGATTATTAATACGTATATGATGCTAATACTAATTAATCATTCCAGAGTAACGTCATTTGACAAATTGCTGAGGGGCAAACATTGTATTACGTCAAGATTTGTCATATGGAACTAGAATTAGTGGGATCGTTTTCCTTGGAATCCGAGTTGAAACCCGAAACGATTTCATAGTTTTGTATGGTGAAACTGTTATTATATTGTGGATGTGGCAGGAATGGCCAGGGCTATGCTCATCGAAGGTATAGTTTATCCAAAAACAATTGCAGCGTCTCGTGCCGCACCTGCACTCATTTCAAAGGGAACTTCTAACACGCCGACACCGCACGGTGCGAGATTTCCTGCAATTGATATTGGATACACTATAACCTGACAGATAGTTTGTGTGCCCCTCAAAAAACCATGTCAAAATCACATGTTCCAGAATGGTCATTTGCATCAAATACACATTTGCCTTACCTATTACAGTGAGATTGACTTTACTATTCTTCGTTTGTGCAATTTTGAAATCGACTCGACATCGATATACACCCTGATCCGTATCCTTGATATGATCCACCCCTAACTCGGCAGGGTGCTTGTCAGCTATGAAGTATGCTCTGTTAGAGAAGAGGTTATCATCAGACCACCTCTCTGCTTGGCTGAAATCTCTCTCTCTACCATCGACACTGAAATCAGAGAAACATAACTATCAACTGACATAATTTCACTTGCTATACGTATAATAGTACATTATACACCTAGGGAATAAAGTGGTATTTCAAATCACAAGACAAAGAGTTTATAGCCCACCAGCTATAATTTGTCGGAAGATTCAAAAACATTTCAGTCCCGAGGTGTTATACACTAATTTATGCACTTCAGAATAGGAAGAACGTTGAAGAAACAATAACGAAAAACAAAATCAATACTTCTAAACGTTAGTTCATCTATTTCTGAAACATCATCGAAGGGGCTGATTGTTACCATATCAACGACCTCAGTAGTTATGGTGATCCAGATCATGATTGTCATCGACAACTGAAAATCTTGGTGTGTTGACAAGTAAGTAAATAAAATGTAAATGAATAAATATAAGTCAAACACTCCGCACCGATTGAAAGACGTTGATCACGATGGAACAAATCGAAAAGGCAGCTTAAGAAGCTGAAGGCCAATAATTATTACCAATATAAAAAAACAGTTATCTGCGTTCATCAAATGGTGCTGAGATCGGAACGTGGAAGAATGTACTGGTAGCATATTCTATGATATATTTAGTTTTCATTGCAGAGACAATTATACTTTGAATCCCTAGGGATTTAAATTAACTTCAAATCCTTAGGGATTTGAAGCACCACTTTTTTTACCGAAAGTATGGAATGGAGGTACCGACATGATGATATAGCCTTTGTAAACACCATCCAGTGACTGATTAGTGATCGGACGAGGATTCATTAGAATCATCTTATACACCTCCGAACGACAAACCCCTACAGTACACAGTATATAAGACGCTGCCATCTATACAGCCACCGTGTGTGACCCCTACTTCATCATACCACGAAGTGGTACAACAAGCAGTGTTGCCAATGAGGCAGTCCCAAATTCTCCACCACGAAGTGGCAAATTCTCCGAATTACAGGTAATTCTCCGCTCATCAGAGACATCACAGAAAATTTAAGTCTTGCTGTGACACAATTTTGAAAATCGAATTTCCACCCTTACAAATGATCCTAAACAGTTATCCACGTTCCCCATTTGAAAAATAGTTTGATCCTTGGTTCTATTGAAAAAGAAACAAGTTTAACGTCTACTTGTTGGGTTTCTTAAGTCATATAGCGGTTTCCATCGGTTGAATGCCACTCTCCGCAGAATTCTCTGCTCACCTCAAAATTATCCGAAAAGCGGGGAATTCTTCACCAATAGGCAACATTGAAAACAAGTGAACCACTCTGCTGACAGATAGCATTGCTATAGCCCTATAGGAATCTTATTTGTTTCTAGAATTGGATTGAATTGATTGATAACAAGCATCCTCATCAAGTAGACATTTTATTGGAGGTCAGTGAGGCAGCAAGAAATAATGTGCCGATGTTGCCAAGTTCAACCAAAATGTTTCAGCTTATTGTAGAAGATTTCAGGAAGTTTCACACTGTTTTATTGTTCCATTAGATATATTCGAGAGTGCTCCACAATATTCCAGAATATGACGGAATATTATAGAATCTTCCAGAAAAATATATGGAGCATGTCCAAAAGTTTCAAACCGACAGATGGTATATCTGAATCCCAAAATGTTCGAGGGAATGGAGAATATGGTCATTTACGCTGGCCTAATGATTTTCGTGAATAAATGATTTTTTCCAAGCTATCATATCATATTTATATAATATAACTCTTTATAGGGAATTAACAGGATGTGGACTGGAAACTGTTCGAAACCAAAGTTATAATTGCATTCTCTATAGGGTGTGCCATGACTAACCATCTATTATAGCCTGATGGCGCATTGAGGAAGTCACAGTGAGTCACAGTCATAAAATATTCTGTTCTTGTGCCATCGTCGAACAATGCATTTGTTATTTTGATGAAAATGACAATCATATAAAAATATTCTTGCCCTTTTATTGTCTTACAGGAATAGAGGATAGATCATAATATGGTTGTATCGGATTGGTTACAATATAGGTATTTTATCACGCGTATTCCTGAGATTCTCATGAAATATCGAGAGATTCAATAATCATTTTGAAGATGAGAATGAGAATGAGAATGAGAATGAAACGGTTTGTGACAGTAAACTTAGTACTTCGGAATGATAAAATGGAATGTTTCACTTCAACAGGCATTGAAGGAAATTTAATATTTGTCATAATTCGTAAAATAATTGATTTTCCTCCAATAACTGCTATGAAGCGCAAGTAAGTATTTCACGAACACGCGAAGCGCTCGTTAACCGAAATCAGCACGTGTTCTCGTGTTTGTGCAAACACTTGCTAGGGAGTAACATTATCCACCTAGAATATAATAATAATGGTGGATTTCTTATCCGAGGGACAATCTTGAAATTTAGGTGTGTTTCGACTGAATCGCCTGCAGTGTTATTCGCCTAATTTTAAGGTCAGGTAATTAGGAAGTTATGGGGATATTAGCACCGCATGCATTAATATCATGGTGTTAGAATATTTCATGGTTGTGGTTGTTGATGCCTTCAACTTATGCAATTCGTACACCAACCAAGTGCCACTGATATCATATTAATAACCAATATCTACGAATAGTACGAATTACGAGATTGCTGAATTGTATTCATTCAAACTAGCTGGTCAACATTGATAACGTCGTGGTCCAAAATATAGCCTGAATTCAAAGTAGAATAACTCACGAATTTCCTTACCAATTTGAAATCGGTTTTCACCGATGATTAGCCTAATATCTTGAGAATTAGTTGTGGCAATATGGAACTTTTGTAATTCCAGACCGACACTATATTAATTTTTCAGAACATAGCGATTTTCATCACGTTCAAAAATATGCTTCCTTATTCTGGGACAATCTGAAAATATTTTTTGTCGAACCTTGTATATCCATCGTCATGAATGGATATAAATGTCATACTTCTGGAACTACAATCGTAATTTTTTTAATTTTATAATTTATATAAACGAAAATGCACCATTTTGTTTGAAAATGCGTACCTTCATTAAATCACCTTCCATTCGAGAAATTACAGAACCATTTCGAGGTCAGACACCATACATCCTCATGACGCAGTCATACTCCATTATTTCACTAGTGACACAAAGAAAATTATGTTCCATCTACTGGAGACTACGTCATTCTCCATTCCATCATTCATTATTTCTTGTATCACTTTGTATAGACTTCTTCAGAATTTTCTGTGTTCGAACACAATCACATATCCGACGACTATACATTCAAGGTTGATTTTTCGAAAAAGAATTCCAACTTCCAATTTTATTCAAATAATCGTCGAAAAAATGCATCATTTTGAATGAATTTTCATAACACGATTATCAAAGCTCTGAATTTGAAAATTCCGAAAATGTTTCGAGAGAAAGCATCGATCAACAGGATACAGGTGAGAAAAATAATTAAAAAAATTATCTGTTCAAATGGTAAGGTGAAGACTACGATGCAATTTTACACCCATTCAATCATCACCCTGTAGCAATGTTTCCTGAGATCACAGAAGTTTCGTATTGCCACAACACCCTGTCAAGAAATAAGGCTAATCATCGTTGAAAACCGATTTCAAATTAGTGAGAAAATTCGCGAGTTATTCTACTTTGAATTCAGGCTATATTTTGGACCATGACGTTATGAATGTTGACCAGTTTATTCAGATTCTGATTATTTGATCTAGAAGCACTTTCAGCATTTTCACTCCTATATGAATTTGAAATGACGTAATTAACTCCCTATACAGCTAGGGTATCCTATCCAGCAAACATTGAACTAGCGGGAGAAGTCCGGCATAATAGTGCAGGCAAGTCTGGGAAAGTGACGATGCCTGGGTATTGGTAATGGGCAGATGATTTTCCTATGCTAAGTAATCATCAGTTCAAAACACGATGATGGCCTTGTGATGTCAGAAAGTAGTTGAACAATAACGAGTTGTGGCCCTTTGCCACTCGCCCTCCTGGTATGCATGGTTGTTCTGGGAATGTCTACATCATCAATCAGCTGATCAATATTAAATGTGACTCTCGTGATCGCGTATGTTTCATTTTTCTCTGGTTAGTTATCAAATTATTGTGGTCCTCACTCACCTAATGAGAAGTGTGGATACCTCTCCAGAAGGTGCCAGAAGCAACTATCATGTTTAAGTCGTTCGTTGCTATATGAAAAGCAATTCCAGGTTATGTGAACCATTGTCCTAATAAGAGAACTGAATATAACAGTAAGGTTTAAACTACAGGAAACATGTGCCAAGAAAAAAGTGGGAATTAAAAAAGCGTCATGTTATCACGTTATCAGATTATATTGATCAAGTGATGAACTCAAGCATCAGTATTGCGTTCTTCAAACAGACAGAATTCTAATTTATAATAATAATAATAATAATAATAATAATAATGATAATAATAATAATAATCCGTCTTTATTTCCTCAAAAGAATATTACATAGTAACATGAGGCATAGGTGGTATGTGCATCAGGCGAAGTTTAGCTAGGAAGCTATTCTTACACTTAACCTGTGCTCGACTCATAACCTAATCCTGATACTAATCCTAAAAACCTAAATCTAGCTTGACATCTACATTTTCACTTATTGTCTCACATGTAAAGTATGATTCAACCAATTGCTCTTAATTTTTTTACGGAATTGCGTCGATGGTGATTGTTTGAATTCTAGTGGTAATGAATTATAGAGTATAGCCGAGTTGTATGTGAAGCTTGTTTCAAACAGAGACGTGGAATGATGAGGCATTGTTAATTTTAGCTGATGTCTAACATTTATATTATGGACATTTTGTCTGAAAATGAGTTTTTCTCCAAGATAAGCTGGAGTTGAATCCTTGAGCAACTTGTGGATGAAATTAAATAAAAATAATATTTTGAGGAATTGCTCATATCTAACCACTGGAGTTCCCTGAGTTGATGGAACACATGATCATTTTTTCTCGAATTGAAAATGAGTCGACAACATGTATTTTGAATT